GCTGTGCAAGGAATACCACCCCGGGGCGGGCGAGGGGGAACCACTGGGTACCCAGGAACCCCAACTGACCACCGAACAGCCCCCCACATCCCCGCATCCCACCGTGTGCCTGGGGTTGCGGGATGGCAGGTGAGCTCGCATCTCCTACGCCTGTCCTTTGGTGCAATTGCCAGCCCAGAACCTTGAGGACGGGCACGATCTCCTCCTGCATTTCCCCCCCTCCCCGTTCCCTCCCCAGCATCGCCATCTACGGCAGCGTGGACATGGGGACGCAGTGCTTGCTGACCTGCAAAAGCCCAGGCATGCAACCCGTCCTCTGCTTGAAGCACAGCCCCGAGTACCTGTTTGCGGGGTTGCAGGATGGGACCGTGGCCGCCTACCCCAGGAGCAACGGTGAGGGCACCCCCATGCATGCTTTCAGACAGGCTTTTGGGTGGAACACCCCAAAAAACAGGGAGCAGGATGTTCTTCATGCCAGCGAGATGTGCTGGCTGCTAAAATGGTGATAAATCTCCTTTTTTCTTTTTCCTCCTGTTTTTTCATTCTTCCCCTTGCAGACCAGGGGGTGGGGGGGGAAGAAATAATGCTATTTTGCATTGCCAGGATTAGTCAAGAGGGGCTCAGTTTGTGGAAAACGGTCCCGGCAAGGGGTTGATAGCACAGGGAAGGGTTCGCTCGGAGGGTGGTTGCGCTCGGGGGCTGCGGGAAGGGCCCGATGCTGGGATGCATAAGGACCACTTAGAGTGTTTGGCTTCCAAAAAAAAAGAAAACATCACCTTTTTGGTGCTATAAACCGAGCTGATCCCCCCCAACCCCCACCCATGCAAAAGCTCTCTCCTTTATTAGCTTGATTTTGGGCTTTATTTTCCCCGGCTCCAGCTCAGCCCAAGGCTGCAGCTTGCTCAAAGCCTTCCTCCCCAGGGACTCCTTGCCTGGGCTGTTAAATACCTTCATTTCATCGCTAGAGGGTAGGAAAGAGCCTCAAATGTGTGCTGCATTGGCCTATTTTTGGACAACCCCCCTCATTTGCTCTGAGAGAACCTGCAGCAAGCAGCGCCCAGGCCAGCCTGGAGCCACTAAAGCCACTTAAATTGCATTTTGGGGTGCTGCACATCCCCTTTCCCGCCTTACAGCAACCATGCAAGCCAATTAATGAAGCAACTTTAATTTAATCTCAATTGCACAAATGCATGTTGAAGGTAGCAGGCTGCTGGCAGGGCTGCGGGGTGGAGTTTTTAATCTTATCCCCATCTTTTGGGAAGGAAAAAAGCTTTCCCAAAATAGCTCATTTGCACGGGGAAATTAGGATTTGCTGAAAGGCGGCTTGGTTGCAAACTCCTGCCGATGGGAGCAGAGGTCCGAGCACCCGGAGGGCCTTTTATCCCTCAGATCTTGTGGTTTTATTAAAAAAAAAAAAAATTGCATTGGAAATAAGAAAAGGAAAGCAATTATCTATTGAAGCTGCTCAGCCGCCGCTGGTGGCGAATTCATCCAAATCCAGATTGGATGCTGTTCCCAGAGACACTCCAGATAGGCCCTGGATGAGTCGGCTCTGAAGTGTCGCTTCAAGAGCAAAGAAATTTAAAAAAAGGGGGAATTTTTGGCTCTTGCAGTGAGGACCGTGCCTGTGCCTTGCAGGTGGCCCAGTTATTTGCTGCTAAAAAGCTGCTTGAACAGGGGCAGAGGGGCTTTCGGGGGGCTTGAAGCTGGGGGTGCGAGCGTCCGAGGGGACACGAGGGGCTTTCGGGGGGTGGAAGCGGACCCAGCCGG